GTCTGACTGCCAGCGTAGGCCCGCTCCCCTGGGGAACAGGCCTAAGCCAGCAGGCGTACATCCCCTGAGGGGTCCCAGACTGCGGAGAGGGCACACGCTGGGCTGAGGGACCCCACCCCCCACCCCCGCAGTGCACAAATTTTTGTGCACCGGGCCTCTAGTATAAAAATAAATAAATAAAATAATTTTTTTTTACATTTTGGATTTTTCTTATGATAAGTAAGTATTAGCCAAATCTAATAAAAAACCCATGTTTAAAATGAAACTTTTTTCAAAGTAAAGAATACATTCATTATGTTTTAATTGCTTTTTCTCTAATTTGACTTATAAAAATAGAAAGTTCATACTTTATGTTTAAAGAATTTGGACTCATTTGACAGGACCTGAAAATTCCTGGTTCTTCTGAGATAATGTTCATAACCAAAGGTCATTCCTTGGTTTCATTTTACAGTTTTGGTTGTCAACATCTTGTCATGAGTACTAAGACCAACAAATATATCTTTAGTAAATTATCTTAATTTAGCAACACCTTATAGATAAGCACTTTGGGAGTCTGAGTTGCAAATTGAACTTTGGGTATTTTGTGATCTAATTTTCAGTCAAAATATTCTTAATATATGTCACCTATTATATTGTTACTTTCTCTATCACAGTTCTCCCCTACTTCCAGTATGGCTATTATTATTTTGCAATACAGTTTTTTTAAAAAACCTCTGTTCCTATTACAAGAATAAAAACAGTCAATATAGAAAACTTGTAAAACACTAAAAATCAGAAAGGATAAAACCCAATCATTCATAAGGCAAATAATAAACATTGTTAAATTTTAATTCACTATTATAATATTTTTTAACAGTGTGACTAAATATAAATTAGATATAATAAATTTCATAGCTTTAAAATGATAAATTTTCCAAATTTTGGCATCCTATATAATAAAGAGGTAATATGCAAATTTACGATCACATCCTCACACAAGCTGTTCGCCCCCATATGGTCACAAAATGGCTGGTAGGGGAGGGCAGTTGGGGGCAATTGGGCCGGCAGGGGAGGGCAGTTGGGGGTGACCAAGCCTGCAGGGGAGGGCAGTTAGGGAAGACTGGGCTGGCAGGGGAGGGCAGTTGGGGGTGATCGGGCTGGCAGGGGTGTGGTTAGGGGGGAATCAGGCAAGCAGGCAGGCGAGTGGTTGGGAGCCAGCAGTCCCAGAGGGATGTCCGACTGACGGTTTAGACCTGATTCCCACAAGCCTCCTATATAATAAAGAGGTAATATGCAAATTTACGATCACATCCTCACACAAGCTGTTCGCCCCCATATGGTCACAAAATGGCTGGTAGGGGAGGGCAGTTGGGGGCAATTGGGCCGGCAGGGGAGGGCAGTTGGGGGTGACCAAGCCTGCAGGGGAGGGCAGTTAGGGAAGACTGGGCTGGCAGGGGAGGGCAGTTGGGGGTGATCGGGCTGGCAGGGGTGTGGTTAGGGGGGAATCAGGCAAGCAGGCAGGCGAGTGGTTGGGAGCCAGCAGTCCCAGAGGGATGTCCGACTGACGGTTTAGACCTGATTCCCACAAGCCCAAGCCCCTCGAGGGGTCCCAGATTGGAGAGGGTGCAGGCTGGGCTGCGGGACAATCCCCTCATCCCCCAGTGCACAAATTTTATGCACTGGGCCTCTAGTATGTATATAATCATGAAACATTACTATAATAAAAATACTGATTACATAAATTCATTTCTCCCTCAAAGTTTACATGTACCCCTTATAATATACCTAGTTCCTATATTCTCTGGGAATCATTTATCTGCTTATAGATTTATTTGGATTTTTTAAAATTTTATATAAGTGGAATCATACAATATATTCCCTTTTTTTCCCGTTCCTATCAGCATACTTTTTTTGAGAGTCTTCCATGTTATATGTCTTAATAGTTCATTCCATTTTTGCTGAGTAGTATTCCATGGTTTGGAAATATTGAAATTTGTTTATTCACCTGTTGATAGATTTATTGTTACCATTTTGAGGATCTTGAAATAAAGCTGCTCTGAACCTTCATGTACAATTCTTTGTACACACATATGCTTTCTCTTTGTGTGTGTAAATAGCTAGTAGTGAATGGCTATATCTCGTGGTAAGTATTGAACTTTAAGGAACTGCCATTCTCTTTTCCAAAGTGGTTGTATTATTTTATATTTTTACCAGTAATGAGAAAGAATTATAGTTCTTCCATATTCTTGTTATCTCTTGGTATGATCAGTCTTTTTAATCCCCTTTCATACTTGGTTCTTACTGACTGAAGGGCTGGATGAGGGGCTTTACTGATCCTCACAATAACCATGCTCAGTAAGTGTTATTCCCTGTCTTTTGAAAATTAGGAACCTTAGACCCAGAAGATTCAGAATATTTGTCCAAGAATATTGGTAAAGGACAGAATGAGAAATCACAACTTGGTCTGTTTGGCTTCAAAGACTTTTTCTTTCCGTTATGGTATATTATGTTGTCTCTTGGGACAGTAAGAAAACCTCACTAGTTTTGAAGGATTTGTTATAACGGAATTTGAACTATGCATAATTTTCTGAAATTTTAATTTATGTATATATCTCACAAATTTGAGTCTGTGGAGGGAGAAAATTATAATTTATGTACCTTTTGTAGAATTACTTTAAAGTCCTTGAATATGCCTGGGCAAAAATAGTACATATATATTTTTTTTTTTTAAATAAGTATTGGCTAGGAATTGAATAAGGCATTTACCTCAACATGAACCAGATGTTTTATTCTTACGTAGAGAAGGAAATTATAGGATATAGGATCAAGCTCTCTGGTATTATTATGACATAATTGTATTACTATGTGGACTCCTAGAAGGTAGCTTCTTGTGCCTGAAAACATTGAGGTTGGGGATTTCTGTCATGCACTGGGCTGTGTATTTATATTAGGTTATGCATGGCAGTTTGGCAGTTTGTTTTGCAGATGTTCCTAATGTACAGTCTTACATCTTGTTTCTATTTCTGGAATGCTTTTAAGTATGACTCATGCCTTCTTGAGGCTATACTAAAAATACAGCTAGTTTCAAGCATTAATGTAAAATACACCACAGACACCACACAGCAGTACGTAATGCTTTCTCTCAGTGGTTTAATGCAATTTCCTGACAAATATTTTCTTTGACAAAATACACTATACTAAAATGTAAGTGGAAATGGGATTTAAAAAAATTTTTTTGAGAAGTGGGTCCTTTGATAACATAATGTAAACAACAGAATGAATTTAAAATTTTAATAAAAGGAGTTAAATATGCTATTGGTATCACCAAAATCCAAAAAATAGTATTAATGTCCAGAAAAGCAAGTCTACTAAATTTAATGGACTCAGGTGAGGTCTACACTTATAGGGAAAATATTGGACCTGAAGGGAGAGCCTGTTAAAAAGATTTTGGAAGTGCAATTAGACATATGGCTGGAATGCAAGCTTTGGACTAAAACAGTTTAGGTCTAACTCCTGGTTTATGCATTTGTCACCTGTGGACAAAGGGTAATGAGCATTTAACAAATGCTTATATGGTAGTATATTATCAGACATTTTAAAATGCTGATTTACTCTTCATAACAACTTTATAACTCAGTACATTTATCATCTCCATTATACAGTTGGAGAAACTGAGCACAGAGGGTTTAAATAGCTGAGGAAGGTTACATAGCTAGTAAACAGAATTGGGATTTGAGCAGTTCAGTTCAGGTCTGTATCCTTACATATTATATGTTGTGAGATCTAGATGCGACACTATACAAAAAATCATTTGTATTTTTACCTGGTACTTGACAAGTATGAAATAAATTATAACTAGTATCATTATTATTGAGGGGCAGTAAAAGAAGGAAAATATTACCAATACCATTAAAACTATGAGAATCTGATTCCATGCCCAGATAACCATTTTCCTGAATTTATCATTTATTGTATTTTTTCTTTTTCAAGTACTGTTTTATTGTATATGTGTATATTTATAATGAATTCAATTTGCTAGTTTATTGAGTTTTATCAAAATAGTACCAAATGTGATTTATTCTGAGAATTAATTTCTGCACTCAATATTATACCTTTTAAGAGTTAAACATATTGTTCGAAGTAGTGGTAGTTTATTCTGTTTTTGTCATTATATAGCATTCCACTGTGTGTATTTTATCCATCTCCTGCCTCCAATTTTATTTTGAATAACATTGCTATGAGTATTTTATGTGTTCCCTAATGTACAGGAGTGAGAGTTTTTCTTATATACCTAGGAATGCACCTGCTGGTTCACTGGGTGATTTACAAATGAGTAAACACAAAGTAATTGTATTAACTCAAACATTTCAGAAAATGCTTAGGCAGATGAGCAGATTGATGTGTGATTTAATAGTAGACTTAGAAGGGCATTGAATGGAGTAATCTTCTATTCCCAAAAGAGTTGGTATAGAAGAATAGACAATTTCTAAAGAACGCATTTAAGTGTTCATAAAACTTTTTTTTCCATAAAACTTTTTAACTGTGAAGTTTGAGATCTCACATCTCATTGCCAACTAAGTTATAATATAGTTTTCTTAAATTTTAAAAGACTACAATAATCATTAATTGTCTGGGATGATTTTATCATATCCCCTTTTAGAACAAAAAGGGTGGAGTATAAAACAGATAAATAAGATACTATTCTTTATATCATACTTGAGAATCACTTTCATTCCTTTAGTGACACTTACAGATGAGTGTTCAAATGTTCTTATAAGCTTTTAAGTGTTATGTACCTCTTTGTGATATCATAAACTTTGTCCTGTTTTAATATCGATAATGATGTTTTTATTGTAAAACTGTGAAAATTCACCAGGTGTATGTATCAATGGATGTGTTTATGCATGTGTGTATGTATTTTAATATAATATACAATTTTCATTGATTGCTTGGAGGTTTATATTATATGTAGTAGTTTGATCTGCATTTCACTTTATATTCCCTCTCCCCTCCCTTTAAAGTTTCAGACTCTCTGGCTCAATCTGTAATTCAGCATCTAAGATGGATAATGCAGAAGGATCTCCTGGGGCAGGATGTCTTTCTAATAGGACCTCCTGGGCCTCTTCGACGCTCTGTTGCTATGCAGTACCTGGTGAGCAGTCAATTCTTGTGCATTCCTAAGGGTCTTAACATTGATAAGTTATGTTGAAAAATTAATTAAGATTAAGAATTTATAAAAATATGAGGATTAGTCATTACTGAAAAAAATTGTTAATGTTGGAGGCTGATTTGTTTATAAATAGTTTGGAATAAGTTATTTGCAAAGCAAGTGTATTACTTTTCATAGCTTTAGCAAATTTTTGTTGTAACTAGAAAGTTCTCCACTTCCAGTGGAAAGGAAATACAAATTCAGTCAATGAATAGCAGATAAAATCAGCAACTCTGAGATTACAAAACAAAACTTAGTTTTTTAGTACTTAGGGAACATTCTCTTATCTCAGATCCACATTTTAAAAGGCCAAATAATTCTCTTGACTTTTTGATATTATATGGTCTTTAGAAAGAGAGCCTAGGGTTTGTAGACTATCTCATGTGTTATATGCTCTCTCTTTTTTTCTTTAAATAGATGAGAAAACAAATTCATTAAATTACTCGCTCAAGCTCTCTTCAGCTAGGGAATGATGGAGCTAGACTTCAAATCTCATATTATTTCTCCTTTCTGACACGTTATCCTTTTAAATGTTTGCAGTTCTATAAGCACATTGTGAAGTGAGTTGAAGTACTCAATTTTCAACCCCCCCCAAAAATATTACAAGACTTCTTTTTATTTTGTCTTCATTAATAGGTATTGTTCTAGTGATTCGAGGAAGGATGTTATCAAATGAAGTTGCTTTGCTCTGAATATACTTTTTAGGATGAAGAGAAAAATCTTTCTTAAATTTTCCTTGTGTTCTTGATATTAATTCATTAATATGCTGCTGAAATATACTTTGTGTACTCTTTTATGTCACTGGTGAAATTATTTTGTTGCTCACAAAATCATGTAGGACAGGAATGATAATACAATGAGCAGTTCAGAACCTCAGTACCTCTAGCCCATACATCTCATATCTTTTGTTCCTAGAACCAGTTTGTGAGGTATAATGTGCCATTGTATGCCTTGTATCCCGATCCTCACTTTATTAATATACAAGGCAAATCTGTCCTATTTAAGAATGCAGAGCCAGCTACCAAAAATTCAAATTCTAGAACCTCTTTCATTTTAAGATGTGCACTTTCCACCTGACTAATTTCAAAGACTACAGTATCTCACTTTGTTTTGATTCTGGCAAGACTTGGAAGCTTGTTTGGAAGGAATGTGGAATGAGAAGGGGTAGGAGATTTTAGAAATCTCCTTGGTTAAAAATGCAACATAAGTTTATAAGGGTGATGCCTTTATGTTAAAACAAAATAAACTTTAAATTGTGAAATAGATTTGAGGCAGCTTTAGGATGTGGAAATGCACCTTAAGAAAACTTACCAGCCTAAGCTGCCTCGCAAACTCTGCAGTGGGTACTATGCTTAACTTAGTAACAGCCACAGAAAAGGAGGTCTATAAAAGCAGAAATTTGGGGGCAAGCCTGCTGAATCAATGAGAAATTAAGTAGAAATAATCTGATAGTCACGTCTATATTTACGTCATATAAAAGCAGTTCTATAGATAGTTAAAAAAACTCAGCAGACCACTGCCGCCTCCTCCACCTGCTGCTCGGGCGCTGTTTCTGAGCTCGCTCAGACTGCTTCTCTGCAGCAGCAGCTGGGGAGATTGTGTGCTCATTTTGGCTGATGCAGAGTCCTAGGAAGCTGTCAAAACTGCGCATATCCTTGATGTGGCAGTTCAGGGTATTACGGTGGTACAATCTATCCTATCTAATAATAGACAAACATGGTAATTAACCATAACTTTGCTACCCTTCTCATCAGCTAATCAGTGAGATATGCAAATTAACTGCCAACCAAGATGGCTGCTGGCAGCCAGGCAGCTGAAGCGAACAGGAGGCTTGCTTGCTCCAATGATGGAGGAAGCCAAGGTTCCCTGCCTGCTGCTGCCGGCCTCTGAACTGCACTCTAAGAAACAATGTTGCAATTATAGAAGCTAAACAAACACAGAAAC